TAATCGTGACCACGAGTCGACTGGAATTTCACCATTTAAGGCAAACTACGGGTTTAACCCGACGTTCAATAAGATCCCATCAAACGAGCAATGCATTCCCGTCGTTGAGACCAGACTCCGGATGTTAGAAGAAGTACAAAAGGAGCTGACTATATGTTTGGAACTCTCGCAGGAATCTATGAAAAATCAATTTGACAAACATGTCCAGAAGACGCCAAATTGGCAAGTAGGAGACGACGTCTGGCTCAATGGGAAAAACATATCCACAACCAGACCAACTCCTAAACTGGAGCACCGCTGGCTAGGTCCTTTCACTATTATTGAGAAAATTTCTACATCAGCTTATAAATTGAAACTCCCGAATTCAATGAAAGGTATTCATCCGGTGTTTCACGTTTCAGTATTACGAAAACATCAAGCAGATTTAATTGATCATAGGAAGCAAGTTGAACCACCTTCAATAACAATTAATGGCGAAGATGAATGGGAAGTCGAAGAGATATTGGATTGCAGATCTAGACGCAACAAATTAGAGTATTTAGTTAAATGGAAGGGTTATGAATCAAATCACAACTCATGGGAGCCTGAAATAAATTTAGAGAATAGCTCAGAATTACTTAATGATTTCAAGAAAAGATTTCCGGAAGGTGCTTTAAACTATAGGAGAAGGCGGAGAAGATAAGTGAGGGTATAGCTTTTTCCCCACGGGGTTTTTTAATGCTACCCGGGGACAGAACGCAGAGCTTACAACAGAGAGCTTGGGCGTTAAAAAGGGGGCTTAAAGGCGGGATAATGTTACAATCCTAAATGTAACACTTGTGAAAGACGCTTGACATGTCACAACAGAGACTCATCTATTAACTGTTGTATTACGTACTATGCTTTCTTTCCTTATCCGACAATCAACATAATCACCTGATTGATTGCTAGGAACCCTTCCCTCCATTCCATCGACGAACCTGCATCCCCTGAGACAGGTCCTAACAGTCCATGGGCAAAAAAATTGACCGACAATGTAACAGCAACCTAACAAAGGAGGAAATTGTGAAGTCGACTGTGATCAAAGTGCAGAATCATCAGTCAGTTCAGTGAATAATCAAAGTAAATCATTTCAACCAATGTGGACGCACCATTTTGTATATAGTGACACATGGACTGATATGACAATTCAGTTTTAATATTGGAACAATAAGATAACGAAGAAGACGAAACATATTCTCCTGAAAGGATCCATCAAGGAATCCTGGTGAAGGTATGTATAAATGTCAGTACATGTATTTTGAGGACGATAAAGAAGATATTATGCTACATACCTGCATTGAATCCACAGGCGACCAAGAAGTGTATGCTAAGAATTGCACAGAATAATGTCTCAGCAATGATGCAAGTTAACTTGCTGTACCAAGGACTTGAAAAACACAAGTGCTGGATGTCTGACTGATTGTGGATTACTTGTAGTTCAATCGTATTGATGGGTATCTTGAAATATTCTTCTTATAAGGCCTCACTTAAATCACCAGTTGAATCGTCTTGAAAAATTGAATTATTATTCAAAGATACAGTGGTCATCTTTGCAGGAAGTTAAAATATTTGAAAAATTGTTGGGTGAGAGTAGTTGAGTCATACAATCGGGCAAGGGGTATCAATGTCATCATATTATATATTTTTCACAAACAAACACATCAAAACATAATGATTGGCCCTTGAACAAAGCCCCAATGATGTTGTTTCATTGAAGCTGAATGTCTTTTGATAACTTATTAGTGGTAAGAGCTACAAAAGTTGGCTTGTGCTCCAGGTACTGGTTGTAAAAATGCGTGCCTGAGGGATGGACCCAGTCATGTAAATGAGGCACCTTGGATGATGGTCTGCTTTTGAGTTGAATCTACATACTAATGATAGTTCAATTTTGAGATTGAGACAATGGAATGGAGCCATAGGCAGTCCATGATAAAATGATTCTACTGAAGATGGTGGAACTTGAAGGTTTTCCCTGGCCTGGACAGTTCTTGTTCATAGGACTAGACCACATTGATATGCAAGATAATCGATGAAATATAAATTGGTTTGGCTTCAAATCCTTTCATCCCCAACAATTTATTCTCAACGCATTCAGCATTACTGCACCTTCCACAACATTTCATTATCTTGTTTGACTCGCAATTCTCCATTCTCTTTCAATCTCATTCCACTCCATCCCCTCACCATACTCACAACATGGCTTACCCCATCAAGATATACACTTGGAAGAGGCTCCTCACACGCTTTGGGCTAGTTGCTGGTCTCATATCTTGCATGTGTGCTTCAAACACTATGATCATGTCTCTCATTATCTCAAGTAAATCACATTTTCTACACTCGTTTATCATTTTACCTTTCTAACCAATTTGTCTTGCTAGTGATGAAAAGTCATGATATATTCCCACAGTCTGGATTGTTTGATTCTATACTCTGGATAGTGAGTGGAGTTCAACTTTCAAGAGAACAATTACCTTACATAGTTACTGATCAATTCTGTATTTTCCTTTTCTAGTCATTTCTAATGATGTGGTTGTAGGTTTTTCGACTTGTTAGCTCATTGAAAACCTCAACTGAATCCTTACTCCTTTTGATTGCTTCCATCACAGAACATCCTTGGGCTATTCCTACATGGCCATCTTTATCTTTATTTACCATCCATCTCAGCTTATCATGACCAGTGCACTGAATATTATTGGTATATTTACATTATATGGCTTTGAAGAATTTGGGGATCCAATATTGCCCCTGAAGATCTTATATGTTCATCTACCACTCATCATGGTAAGTTTCTGAAATCGATTTGTACTAACCCAACTGATTGTTTAGAATCACGAACTATTTTCAAAAAAAGTTGATTTCTATTTTTGTTTGATTTTGGTAGGCTTTCAATTGACTCCACAGTCATTTCACTGTACTTACACCTAGTGAAATGGACCTGTATGGTGACTTCGACAAGCTGCTCGCAAATGAAAACCCTTTGGAGATGGCAGAATCGGAGAAGGACAGAATCTTGTTTGATTTGGTTTGATAGAGAAACCAAAGATGTTCTACAGTGCATTTTTTCCTACAAATCTACCATATTATAACTTCTTTGTATTATTACCTGATAGTGCTTTTGCAGCAACATTTTTTAAAACTTTCTTCAGCCAATTTCTCTTTTTAATTTTTATCATATTTGATGCATCCAAACAGATTCCTTCGCGCCAAGCTGCTTAACCCATTGATAATGTCTTCCTTCCTTTGACCTGTGCAAATCAAGTTGTAAAAGATCTTGGCAATATGGATTTGAGCATACAAAACCAAAATTGTACTACATATATAGCTAGTGTTTTTAGAAAGTGAGGAGAGTTTTGTAATAAGTATTACACAAAATTTCAAAATGCACCCAGTAATTGGTCACATATCAAAAGTACAGCCGTTGTGAGAACTATTGGTAAGTTTTTGGCTGTTGTGTGTTTCCAAGATTTAACTTGGGTTTAATCTCTTGTCCAAAACTCAGTTTTTTTCGGTTTCCCAGCCCTAAACCTAATTTTGATTCCTTCAAACTCAACTTTCAATAGCCTGACATCTGCTGAAATCCATCGATTCCATGCATACATTGATCTTTCGAAAGGTCTTCATCTGCCCTCGGGTTCGACTTCCGATCCTGCCTCATCCAACAGATTCAACCAGTCTCGACCGGCCACCTTGACACCTCTTGTTTGAAAATCAGGGATCGCTTTTGCCAATTGTTCAATGCAACTTTCCTTTTGCCATTTGATGAAGGTACGTAAACGTAATTTCATCTTTCTTTTTTGCTCACAAATTCTTTCACTAAACTGATTCGATGAATTGGTAAGAAGAACAGGCTTTCTATCAAGGAAATACAATACCGCCAGATACGTGTTTGTTTCAATTCAACCAAATTGATTAGGAGTTTCATTAGCTGTTGTTTTTGAAAGAACAGGTTTTCTATCAAAGAAAGAAGAACAATTCCGCCATCAATCAATTAATTTACTCATGCCGAAGTTTCCAATCATGTGATTCAATTTGCTTTGCTCCCCATTATGGCCGCCATCATGGACAGGGACATGACCTCATATCATATCAGAAAACGGGGATCAATTAGAGAAAAAAGGGATCAATTTGGTCCAACCGAAAAACTATAAAGAGACAATTGTTTGGCCCTTATCTTTCATCTCCTCATCGGACTCAGCAAACACAGCCAGTAAGATTTCAACAATCTTATTTTTTTCCTCCGTCTCTTTCATTTTTCATCTTATTCTTACCAATGTTTCGTGGTCATTTGCCAGGTTTTGAAATTTTCTCATAAAATCTTTCTTCAACCCGTCTTTTCAACTTCAACACCTTTGTCTTTTTAGAGTGCGTTCAGTTGGCCATCTCTTCAATTTTCATTTGCCTCTTGATCATCGCTTAGCTTTTCTCATTTTTTTGGACCCCTTCTTCCTGTTCACCTAGGCAAAATCTAACATCAATCAACCAAAATGTCTAACCTCGATTCCACCATTACCAAGGCCTCAGATGTGACCCCTGTTGAAGGGCACATGAATGCTTGCAAGTCTGATTCTTGTCATACACTGTGTTTCTAACCCTAAATTGATATCCCTATGGTTTCAGTATTCGAAAAGCCTTTGAATAAATCCAGTAACAACGCACCAGCCACCTGTAGTCAACAAGATCCCTTGTACCGGGTCGGAACCGCGCCTTGTATTCAGTTTGATCAACGTAACGAGATGATTGTGCAAGTCAAGTTCAAAATCCATACCAAAAAGGATGTTGAACCCAAGCAAGTGATCAAGGTTGCTAGTAGAGCTTGCAGATCCGCAGCTGCCTCTGCGAGCTACAACTTAATCGAATCAAAGATGTTCAACGAAGGTAACGTCATCGAGTTGGTGAAGTGTTTGTTTGGGAAGTCTCTCAACGACTTCAAAGCTATGTGTGGTGATATATGTGAAGAGTATGAACCAGGATTGCGACATATGGTTCTCAAGAGCAATGTCGCCCCGCGCTTGAAATGGATGGGCCAGGTGGGCCGTGAGAAGGTGTTCCTTGTAGATTATTTAACCTGGCAGGCTTTTGTGGACCTACTTGCTAAAGCGACCAAGCACAAGGGCTCGGTGACTATCTTTACTGAAAACGAGAAGGAAAAAGCTAAAAAAGCGGCTCAGGTATGTATTTTTATTATTGTCTGTGTTTTCATTGCTGACTTTTACATTGCTGACTCTTATCACTTTAAGACGTGCGCTGCAAAGCAGTTCATAGCTTCAGCCAGTGGTGTCACTCCAGCAGAAGCGCAGGTTGGTGAACTTACCAAAGAATTAGAGGTTAGTGGTCATTCTTTTGACACTCCCTCTCTTAACTTTTTCCCCTTTCCATTTGATTCCTTTCTTTTGATGCCTCCCTTTCTTTGCTTTGCCCCCTTTCCATTCTATCTGTTTTGATCCCATCTATGTTCCATTCTAACTCTTTCAATTCCTTCTATTTCGGTGCAATAGGCTGCTCGTAAGCGCATTGAGCTTCACGAGCTCACAGCTCGTCTCTTCCACAAGCAATCTCAAAGAGGTTCCTCCGGCGATGGGGCGGTTTTGGTTTGCCCATGGAACCCCAACTTCCAGTACCGCTTGACTTGGAATGCGGCGTGGGTATGGGCAAAAGGCGTGGTAAGTGCTCAACTCCTTTTTTTGGTATGGTTTCAATCTAACAACTTTGTATCATTATCAGCAAGCCGGAATGGCCACTCGCAAGATCCCACCCCAAACCTACGAATATCTTGCGTTGATGAAGAAATCTCGCGTCTTCCACAAGCCATGCAAGTTGATGACTGTGTCACTTTGCGATTGTCTCAAATGGAGGTCAACTTGTCTCCCACCTTCCATAAGCCGGGTGGCTCTTCCAAGTCCTTTTTTTAATCACCTGCAAAACTTTTATTTCAAAAGGCTAGTGATTCCAAGAGGTCTGCTAGTTTTGCAGGGGTCTCTGAAGATGATCGGATGAAAATCAAAGGCAATCCAGGTAAGTTTGCGGTTGAACTATATGCAGAAATTTTCTTTGCTGATGATTTCTTCCTTTCTATAGTTAAAAAAGTTAAAATCGAACCCAGTACGTCATGTCTGGTCTCAAAGATCTTTAAGTATGACCTTTTAACATACCTGATGTCCACTTCCTCACCTTGCTTGTGTAGACTCGACCCCCCGATTAGGCCCAGGCACCACCATCGTGTTGTCATCAGACCCCATTTCACCATCTAAAGTTTTTTTGTTGGGCCATTATATCATGCCAATCAAGAAAGAACCTGTTACGCCTGGTACGTCAAAGTTCCCCTCTCTTTGAATCCCACTGACCCACTAACAATCACTTGTGTAATTTTTTACCTTATGTTATAGGTAAATTCTCCGGTGGTAAACCGATCATCACGATTGATATATCATCTGATGGGTCCTCCTCGCCTGACAAGAAATTGGACTTGACTCTTTTTCGTAAGAAAGATGTTAATCATGATCCAGGTACAAACATCCCCTCTTTTACCTTACTTTTTCTTTGGACCCTGTACTGATTGTGCGAAGAACTAAAGAAACTCGAGTCACCAAAATGGTGATATACCTTATAATGCCAGTAATTGGGCGTTAGTCTTAACGGTTTTGAACACCAAAGACGAAAAATAATCACACCTTATAATGCCAGTAATTGGGAGTTAGTCTTAACGGTTCTGAACACCAAAGACGAAAAATAATCACACCTAACAGAGGTGAGAGAAACCAACAAAGGTACGCCACTTTGTTCCTCAGTGAACTGATAAGATATTATTTCATATGATGATATGTTCTAACGTTACCTTATAATGCCAGTAATCGGGCGTTAGTCTTAACGGTTCTGAGCACCGAAGACGAAAAATAATCACACCTAACAGAGGTGAGAGAAAACAACAAAGGTCTGAAGAGAAAATAGAGTGATAGATATAAAAATAGATCAATAATTGTTTATTTGGATTTGAAGAAGAAATCAGTATGAATCCACTTACACACCACTTTGTTCCTCAGTGAACTGATGAGGAGAAAGTGGCAATCGTGGATGAATGGGAGTATTTAAAAGTGATACATGGATTGGTTAGGTTTGAGTTTAAGTTTAAGTTTGAGATTTAAGTTTTGAATTCAGTATGTGATCTTAATTGAGTTGTAAGTAGTTTGGCGGGTTTGACTACGTAGGTTGTATTCTAACAGATTGCCTATTGGATCTTGCGTTCATAGCCTCGAACTTCTCTAGCTTGTTTGGTCAAGCTGAACAGGTCTTGAGTTCTTCCGACCATCAAACCGGAAACTCAGCCATGGATGATCGTACTCATGCTCACGCCTCTGCTTTGGAATGTTTTCTGGTTCAATGCAACGTACCAAAAGACGACGAGACCACCTGAATTGTCCTCAAACAAGCCAATGTCCACTCTTGGACCGACTTAATCCCCAGCATCCAAATGACTGAATCGACCCTGACTACGCGAGGAATGCACCCCGCCCTTGCGTCCCATTTGCTTAGTGAAGCTATGGATCGTGTCAACGGCCTCAAGAACAAAAACCACGCTGCTCCTGATGAAGAAGAGGATCAAGAGGAAGATCTTCTTCAAGACAAAGAACTTCAACCTGAAGACAAATACCCCCGTGAATCTATCATGTCACCCGAGTTCTGACTTGCCACTTCCCCCAATATCCCAGTTATCTTTCGTGATTGAGTTTGTCCCACAAATCTGATGTGTCTCTAAGTTGTTTCTTGTTCAATTTGTTTCACTGCTCCCTATTTGATTTCGCGAGTTGATATACTCATAGTTGTGAAGTTTCCAATGTGGCTCACTGCTCCGTCTCTATTTGATACTTTGCTTGATAAACTTGAAGTTGTAAACTTTACAATCAGATTCATTGCATCTCCTTTGATAACTAACATGATAACGCTACCACACATGCATGTATTAACTGCTTACTCCGTGTTTGATGTTGAAATGTAACCTTCAGGTTCGTATGTTTTTCCAAAAGCCAGAGCCAAGTGTGAAAGATAAGAAGCACCAAATGTTCTATCAGCAAAGATGTCTCGAGAATCTCAGAAGTCAGCAAGCCCCATCTCCTCATCACCATATCATGAATCTAGCTTATTAAACCTCATACCTTTCATATCATCTGATTATTCCAATCGAAGTCTCTTACTTATATTAGAGAATTCTAATTCTCAAATTATCTAATATGATATTCTCAGATGCCCTCAACATTTCATCATATTATCTTCTGGATCAAATGAGGGCATTCCTCCGGGCATACGGAACAGAAACACATTATCTGATTATTTAATTATAATCAAATCAAAAAGGAACACAAATCACATTTAGATATATATCATGTATGACAGGGTTCACTGATATCTTAAAAATGGAAGGAGTAGAAACAAATACTACTTAAAGACCTCACAATGCCTTTTTGAAAACTTGACTAGAGAATCAAAAAGGTAAAAAACAAGATTTCAGAACGTAACCGTTTTAACAGAGACCGTGTTTAACAATCACAAATACTTCACACTTCCAACCTGATAAGACTGACATGTTTAAAATCACCACTTTCGAATTTACAAATTGCTAATACATTCATAATTACCAAAATCAAAAACAAACATGGTTGTATTCATAACTTTAGATTTTTCAAATTTTCCAAATAACTAATCTTCCTATAAGCATGAATGAGTATAAATTCATCCTTGTTCAATAACCAATATCCAAGATTCCTGTTTCATAATAAGCACAGCGTGTTTGTTCATATCTTTCGAATAATCTAAAACTCAATTTCACAATTATAAATACCCGCTTCCTCTGATCCATTATAATTTATAACATCTAGTATTTTACAAAAAGGAGTTAATTATATCCTTCCCTTACCTAGCTTGTGCATAGGTGAGGGAAAGCAGTACAGCAGGAGTTGAGTTCCGCTGTCAAGGATAGTTGTCATTACTCTGGAACTTGCCTCTCGGCGGGACTTGGTATTGGAGGAGGCTCTCAAAGGCGTCTCTTGTAGAGACTTCTGCAATGGCTGAAACTCTCTGTTTCGGAGAGGTCTCGCCGATCGTAGACCCTTGATTGCCTCTGATTTTCTAAAATTTTGGGTGGGCGGGGGGAAAAAATTTTGTTAGTAAAGGTTTATAGATAAGTTATAGTTATACTTGTGAATAATAATTGTAACTATTGGATAGAGTAAGGTAAAAAGGGAAATTCAAGAGATAAATGAGATGGAGTGGAAAAGAAAATGGGAAGACGGGAAAGAGATATCTCTTGACCATTTCCCTTGAAACCTGTGTATCTACTTCGGTGTTTCTTCCCATTCGGATCTCCATGGGATCCTTCTTGGGGTTTTATTTCATTTACATCTCCCCTTTGGTGTACGTGTCTCTATGAAGTTACTCTATCCATGGACGAATCTAGCTCAGCGTGCCTTGAGCAAGAGGCTATCCATTACAATTTATAACATCTAGTATTTTACAAAAAGGAGTTAATTATATCTTTCCCTTGCCTAGCTTGTGCATAGGTGAGGGAAAGCAGTACAGCGGGAGTTGAGTTCCGCTGTCAAGGATAGTTCTCATTACTCTGGAACTCTCCTCTCGGCGGGACTTGGTATTGGAGGAGGCTCTCAAAGGCGTCTCTTGTAGAGACTTCTGCAATGGCTGAAACTCTCTGTTCCGGAGAGGTACAGTAAGTGTCTTGGGTGTCTTGTAGGGAAAGGACAACTCCCCTTTCTCTGGTCTTGGGTCAGGCCTGAGCCTGGTGGGCTTTCCCTACACCTGACACTAGACGTGTCTGTGTTTTGGGCTGTCAGTAGGTGTGTTATGTTGGTGGAGCTTGCGCTCGGAATGGGGTTATGTATTTCCTTCAAGGTACTTGAGATGATAAAACTTATGGATTGGCGTAGCAAAAAGTAGAACATAAAAGGAACAGTGAAATTAGACCCCTATGAAAATTAAGATATTATGGAGAGGTTGGTTGTACGATCTTTCACAACCTGAGTTTTGGTAGATCTGGAGGTAAAAAAGTTGAAGGGATCATGACCTACTACCGCGCTGGATAGTGTTGTCTCTGAGCCAAGCGGCTGGTGGATTGTCTAAAAGGGGATTATGAACCCATGTCGCTGTGGATAGGTCATGCAGAGTCTTGAAGCAAGGTATAACGTCCTCCGAGATCTTCAGTGCCCGTTGGGCCGTTTCCCATTCACGGTCGTTCCAGTTCCGTTGGTAAAGTGTGTGACAGGAAGACTTACAACGTCCTAGAGCTTTCATCTTCTCCGTGTGTACTCCTGCCCTCGTTAGAAGTGTTGCCCCTCCAATCCTGAAAGAGTGGCCGGTCATCCTGGACTTCTGTCCCCAGGCTTTCACCATCACTTCTATCATTTTCTTCTGAGTGATGCCGGATAAGCCGTTAGGTCCCTGTGTTAGAAACAGCCTCTGATCTTTCTCCCAGAGGAAAGAGTCTGCTAGTTGTTGAAGGGCTGCCACGGGGAATAGGACTCCACATGTTTCTCAAAGAACTAGTTGCTGAGTTTCACCCGGTTTGGCGGTCTTTGCCTCTTGTAACGCTATCACAGTGATCTTCGTCCCTTTCAATACGTGGAAAGATATGTCGCATTGAAGGATTGCTGTGAGATCGTACTTGTTGTATGTTTCCTCCTTACAAACAATTTCTCCTAGGCGTGCTAGTCCCCAATAGGCTGTAAGGGCAAGTGCCGACAAGCCAACAGGGTTGGCATTGTGTTCTGCTATGCTTCCAATCAAGATGACCAGGGCTTTTGGTGTCACCGGTTCTCGTTCGAGTTTCGTGAAGGGAACTTTAGCCTCTAGTCTTTCTGATGCCCGTATTATTGATTTTAGGCGGGTGAGTTGGATGTTGGGAAAATAGTACCCATGAAAAGCATGCCAAGTCCGTAAGTTGGTAAGGTACTTCCTGATCGTGGTTACTCTGACTGGTTTGTTTGTGTCTTTCCAATCTTCGTTTTCTCCAGCCCACACTATAAAGTTTTCCACTACCTCTACCGTCGCCGGAAAGGTCACCAGCTTCTTCTCCTTTGTAAACCGTTTGAACTTCTAGACTCCTGAAGCATACGACTCGAGGGTTGATCTGTTCCATTCTGCTCTTAGCATATGACACTGTGCTGTGTTCAGTCTAAGAGGGACGTTGTTATCAATTTGTAAGAAGGTGGAGATATCTTTCATGTTTTTGTTTCCTTCCTCTTCAGCTGACAGTGTAGTTGTGTCGTGGTGGAATACCGGTACGTCGGTTCTGGGTATCGGTCGTGTCTATTAAAACAATAGTGGTGTGATCTTTTTGTTCGTCACTGTTACTCAACTCAGTCTTGTGCGGTATTTCTTATTACTCACCAAATGACTGTTATTTGTAAAATTGATATCTTATTCGGCTTAAAAACGTTTAGAGAGTGTATGGTGTAGTACTAATAGCACAACAAGGGCTATACAGTGCTTTGAAAGAGGATAATCTGCAAATATAATAACTTTACAGAAGGTGTCTGTGACTGCTCTTTCTGTGAATCTTTAACAAACTGGACTTTGTTGTTAAAGTCTCCTGATAACAGGGAAAAATAACCAGGACTTTGATAATAGAGAAAAGTATTTTGATAATAAGGCACCAGAGAAATTAATTCCAAATGAAGCTTTTTAGCTTATAAGACCAATAAAATAAATTCTCTTATTAATTAATAAGGGCAGTTTAAGTGAACTAGGACTGTGTAGTGATTCTCATAATGATAAAAAACTACTACACTTTATCATAGATGAAGAAGAAAGGGAAAAATACAAAAGTAAGACAAAGACCAAGCCATATATATCTGATTTTACAAATAATAATGGTAAACAGCTTTAAAAAAACCAAAAAGATGACTAAAAAATTGGTAAACAGCTATGATGCAATGATTCAATGATCTTCTACACTTCCCAAATTCGCCATTTTGAGCCATTTTAGCTAGTACAAATATGTAGTATGATGTAATGTGATCAATAGATCTTCTACAAGTGATTCTTCAATCATTTACCCAGCAAAGATGACTAATTGCTACTGCCAAGCTTTTCTTATGATCAATTTGATATGATTTGCTGCTGTGAAGTTAATCAATAAGTTGAGCTTGTGATGATTCAATTTATCTTATTCATTGTCTTCATATTAATGTTGAGTAATGATTTGTTTTGATTATAAATGATGTGTTAGTTATAAATGTAATGTTACTAATCGAATGATTTACTCGTGTAAAATACAATCACATGCTAAATGCTTATAGCCCATCTCTTGTAATTTATGCTTATGTAAACTTCCCTCTTGAATTTCAAAATCTCACTCGCCCCAATCTTTAACCACACCCCATCCTTCTCCCTCTCACCATTCCATTATGACATCATTTAAATCATTTAATATTAGTCATCTCCCTCTTTCTTATCCTTTCACCACTCCTCGTTCTTGTTCAATGCCTCTTGATCATCTCTTATCAGTTTGATCATTTCAGTCTTTGGTTCCTTACTCATTCAATGATATTGGCTTTCCATTCTCGGTCATCTCGTCTAATCTATTCTACCTATTCATCTTCAACCTATCAGTAAGTCCCATAAACTTATCAGCCTTCTTCATTCACTTCAATCTGATCCTCCTCAACCATTCTCTTTCCTTCTTCTTTCCTTCTTCAGTCTTTTTTTTAGTCCATTGATTTCATCCTTCAGCTTTGATTTTCTTTGGCTTTGATTTGTTTTTGGCTTTGATTTTCTTCGGCTTTGATTTGTTTTAAGATTTTTTTCTAACCGATTGATCAATTCCCTCTTCTGAATCTTCAAATGAATAATGAATAATTAAAATAAATGAATTAAATTTTTAAAGTAAATCAATTGTAAAAAAAACACGTTAGTGGTGTACAAACCTACAACCCAACATGAAAACCCATGAAAAAAACCCATGAAAACCCAACTTCTTTATGGGTTTTTTTCATGGGTTTTTTCACATGGGTTGAAATCAGCTAGATCTGACCACCCGTTTGTTGAAAAAAAATAGTCGAGTTCGATATAGACTCAACCAACCCCTCCCCTTCCTTGCCAACACAACACACCCAAATAACCCAAGTCCTTCCACAAAACATATATATGATACTTGTCTACCTGATGTATGCTGATTTCAAAGTTACTCTCTCTTTGGTTTGTTTTGACCTTTGCAATACAAAGAATTCAAAAGTGATTGTTCTATTTCAAACAAAGCACAATTGATCGTTCCATTTCATACAAAAACTGATCTGAGTCGCCTTTTGAAACTTTGAGATGAGACTTTTGAAACTAAGACATTGTTTTCAATTGAGAAAACATATTGTTTCATTTTAAAAAGTTCCTGTCTAAGACTTAAGTTGACTTCTAAAGACTTGATGATACTTCTGAAGCATATTGTTTTCAGTCGAATTCAAACAAGATCGTTTTATTTCAAAAGGAAAGAGATGAGGCTTTTGACTTTTAAAACTAAAATTTGAATTTGGAAGGAAACTGGGGCTAGTGGATGGAGTCATGGTTGAGGTGGATGCCAAAAGAGAGATGTGGAGACTCGGAGTAAAGTTAGGGCCTCAAGTGATGACTACACACTACCCCAAAAATAATATTTTCCACATGGAAAAGAAAAGTGTAGACTTATATAAGGTCAGATAAGTACCCCTTTTCTCTGGAGGGATCATGAGACCAGAGAACAGTCAGTGATGACCTAGAGAGATGAATATGAGTGTTTCAAGCATGAGTAGCTCTTTCCAAAAACACTTTTGTATGTTCCCCAGGCAGAGATTCAAGGAGAAATCAAAGACATCTATAATTTTTCTAACATTGTTTTTCACTGTACATAGATAAGTTCCGCTAGAGAACTGGGGCAAGAAAAGGTCTGAAATATAATCTGACTGTTCAAGTTCACTCAAGTCCTACAAGAGATGAATTGATTACGTACACTTGAGAGCAGTGTTTCACACTATGTATGATCCCGACACTCCTTTCTCTTGCTTTTGAGAAAGGTTGAGAAAACTTTGAAGTGAAGATGAAGAGAACCCTTGTCGAACTTGTATTATAAACTCATTCGTAGTGTAATTTGTATCTCGTAAATACAAATTAAATATGTACATGCAAGTGATTAGAGTACCCCAAGTTTCTTTTCAAAGAAACTAATTGGCACCTTTCATCCCTTCACCAACATGATCGTCAAGCATCCAATAACCACCCCATTACAAGTCATTATCAGGGCCTACTCACAGTCAAACAAATGTAAGTCATCTTCTTTGACTATTCTGCAATCGGAGTTAACTAACTTATCGCCTTGCCCACCACAATCTTTTGTTTTTCACAAATTCAGTTTTCTACTATGCCGAATTGATGACAAAAACTTATTGGCCAGCGTTCCTTTTTTCAATATATATATCATGATCGTACTCACCTTTTCCGTTTTCTACATCCACTAGACTACATCCCTCCTTCATTCGATTCAGTTTTTCAAAGTCGTATCTATCCATCTCTTCCTTCATGTAGGTGTTGATCTATCCTACTCATTCTGGCTATCACCCTTGTCTTTTCTTACAAGTGTTGTCTACCCAGCTGACTCAATTTCATCCCGTCGCATGCTTCCTAATATCGTGATACACATAACCTTGTGTTGAATTGGCAGGTATGTCATTCTTCTGTTCCCTCACTTTTGCCACCATTTTATCAACGCTCATTTGCTGATCGTATATCTGTCCTATAATACAAGATTGTCCACTCTAGTCTTCAGTAGTTTGTTCACTCGAGTCTTCAGTAGTCCAATGCCACCGTTCGACCCCAGTAGCCGCGGTATCAACAAGCAAATGATGCTCGATTGGATGCGAATTAATCATCCAATGACTCCTATCAACTCTGGTGCGCTTAAGCAAGAGATTGCGTGTATTGTTCGGGGGCAACAGCCAGCTTGTACGCAAGTATCCTTTTGTTTTTACTAAACATTTGTCACTAATGTTTAACATTCTATCATCTCCATCTTCCACCAATCAAGATTTCCCTAATCCACAAAGCGATGCCCCAGCTGTCGATGTCCCTGCAGGAACCCCGAGGATCTCGGGGGATCCACCAGCTATCAATTCCAACCCTGCGAATCCAGCACAAGATCCCTCACCTATCGAAGCCACTGTTGGAACTTTGGACGCGCCTGGAGCGTTGGTCACAGATTCTTCCATTGGTTTACGATTGGTACGCTTCAATCAACCTACTATGCTTTTAATTGGGTGTGTGGCTTATGTTCCTTTGCAGCTGGAGGAGAAGCCGAAACAATTGTCTTGTTCACAAATGAAGAGTGGTGCAGTAAATGTTCCCCAAGCCAAGCGAGCGCCATCTGCTCAGATCAATATCCGTTCATTGAAGCGTTCTAGCATGGGTAGGTTTTCTTCAATCCTAGTGAAATGATTGATAACACTGACATTGCTGCATTACAAAAATTTCAAGTGCCACCAATAACCTCCCCTAGTGAACATACAAAAGCACCGAAAAAACTCAAGACTGTGAGACGTTAAACTATTCTTTCTCTCATACAAACCAAATTTCCCTATGTTAAATGGTACTGATAGACTGCAAGCTCCTCATAGCGTTCAAAATCCGAGGGCAAGCCACGCCAATATTTGGATGTGTCCTTGCTTGAACCAATAAGCAGCCCTTCTGGACCATCAGTTACTGCTAATATCGTATCTAAAGCCAAAGTCAAGATTGAGCATCAAAGTTATCCCTTGATTGATCTCGGTGACGTCAATTTGATGGACGAACCAAACCCGGGTGAGTGTGTCTTGTAGTCTACATTATTTTGAAACATAGTACTAATGAACCAAGAGTACTTTTGGTCATCTTAGTTGTGGGAGAAGACATACCTACCATCGTAAGCAAAGATGCCCCGGGGACGTTGCCTACCATTACTTATATGAAATCTGGCGCGGACATCTTTCAGGAAGAACGCAAACATGATAAGCGTCGTAAGTGAGGTTTGGTACATTATAGGTTACAATAATCACGCCTGATTCGAATGACTTGGCAGTCTCTGAGCTTCATGATATAATAGAAAATCTCACATCACGAATGGAGATGAATGAGAAATCCGATATGTCAGCTTTGGCAGAAGAAATGCGACGGGAGGAAGAAAGTATGGAGTCCTTACCCTGCTGATCACATTCTGTCTCATACTGAATAAATCATTTTGTTCCTTGAAGCTCGTGTACTTCAAGAGCGTCTTGCAGGTCTTGAAAAGACAATTGAAACATACAGATTTTTACATGATAGGATCCAAACTTTAGAAGCCGAGGTGTCAGACTTATCCAACCAGCTCAATGACGCAGTTGATAACATTCAAGCTCAGGAAGAGGTGATAACTGGGTTGATGAAGCTGGATGAAGAAGAAAATGGTGACTCTACCGATGAGTCGGAGGGGACATGTTAACTCTGTTTCATATTGAAGTATCATATGTGTTCTGGCAATATACATGTATTATGTGATCCATTTGTTATGTTTTTTTCCTTCTTGATGATTGAAGTTTAAATTATAACCCAATGCTATGGGCTGAACTGATAGCCTTATCACCGTTGAGTGTATAGACAGTGTGGTCACATTGACATTGATCAGGGATCAAATCCCTGCATGAGTAGGTTCAGCTGTTCTTGAGACAGGCCCATCACTCTAGGGGGTTCAGTTTGCCTCGTGAGGAATTAGAAGTATGATTGTATACTAGAAGTTTCATCAAATATGTATCTCATTGATAACACTTACTAAATTACAATATAAACTAAAGAAATGTTGATCCACAAATCCTTGGAAGAAAATGTTTGATCGAAGGGACTCATGAAGCCCTTGGCTTGCAGCGAGTCATATATAAATGATCTACCATGATCATATTTTGCGTGTAATTTATTTAGGTGAATCTGATGTAGATCCCTCTTTTTGTAATTCGGTCTATTCTATTAGCCAAAATTCAAATGTCCCATCAATTAATACATGTAGAATTATAGAGAATTATATATATTGGAGAGTGGGCTTTCTATTTTGTACGGGTTTGTCCCATAATCGCCCCTAACTTGACGCATATGTCTTCTTGAGAAGAGTCAGGAGCCAAAGTTGCATGTGAGACATGCAGATAGAACGGATCACGTCATGAGTATTGGAAATAAGAGGTGGGGATGGTTTTCTGGTGACATTGGACATATCTCTTTTGAGATATAAGTCAAGGATAAGTTGAAAGAGTATCCCTCAAGTTCCTCCATTCCGACCAGATTTGGTAGACTATTCACATCATGTCGAATTCAGTGCAAACCCACCTTTTTCTACCTTCCTATCTCCTTGATTTTGTTGTCGACAATCCCTCTCCTAGATTTGATTTTGATCGTTTTTTGAATAAAGCCTCCAACCCCCAAATTTTGGAGACGATTCTTGCATTCTATCCTCATTTCACCTTCGCGGAAGCGGCTAAAGAAGATCGTGACCTGCTCCATAAGACATTTCTTGAGATGGTACCTAAGCGCCTCTCCCTTGTAGTTGTCCCTTCAACTTGCGAGCCTCCATCCTACTTTCGCGCGAAATTCGAATATCCACTATTTGGACCAGAAGACTCTCAAACAACCGTGACGCCTGGATCCGAGATCGACGCTGCCCGCATCACAAGCTTCAATGGTCTGACTTTCGGCTACCTCAAGAATGGAAAATATCGCCTTGCTGGTGAACACCTTCTCAATTTCATCAAGGATTACAATCATCTCAACAAAGACAAAATTCATGAACTTACATGTGCTGAAGAAGAAGCCTCAGAGGCTATGCACGAATGCATTAGCTACCTCAAAGACGCTCACGAGTCTGTCGAGAGTCAAATACTTTGGTTATCAGAGCCCAGCATCTCCCCAAGTGACCGCAAAGATGTCCAGTCCCGCCTTGAATCTGCAAATATCATGTTGCAATCTTGCGAAAAGACGTTTCAAGGTGCGATCCGAGATGATGCCTACCTTTCAGCATTGATATCTTATCATCGGTAAGCTCCATCAATGATGGACAGTCTGAACATTCTATCATTGTACTGTACATTAATCCCAGCTTTCTTTATTCAAATTTGTAGGAGTCGACTTCCTGTAAAGGAACAGAGTAAATCTCAATCTTGCTGCCAACGTTGTGCCAGCAGCAAGATGGAAAGCTCTCAATAAGTTAATTGAATTGGTTGAGTGAAAGGCGTCAATTAGTTACTCTGGTGAGATCTTTCTTCTTCTTCTTCAAGAGCTGGCGTAAACTCATTGTTTCGATGGTGGCACACCTGCTATCACTTTCTTCAATACTTTAGTGAAATTGCTTGTATGTTGCTTGCAAGCGTGTTCGGGGAAATGGTAACGTTTATCACGAAGCTGGTACAAGAGGTCTGGAATATCTTGACCAAATAGTAAACTATGCGCTTGATATTGTTCCATTGCGTTGGTAGTGCCGGTGTCTCACATTTTATAATTTCTACTCCATATTCAAACTACCAGCTGCTACTCTCATCAGATAACTTTGAAGCCACCTCGAAGCTTTTATCAATGTGACCATGAATAAAATCACAGCGACTTGGTTTTATCATTAAGCGTGGTCTGAGTTTGGGTCACTATCTCACTAGATAATCATGATGCCCATAATGTCTTTGCGCCTCTATCCTCCCGTATTGTAATTGTCAGTGTTATGTCAATACCTCAAGTATGTCGGAACCCTGAAGAGAGGAAATACATAATGAGTGCCTGTCTTCATGCTTTTCACTTTCACAATGTATAATTCAATTTTACATTGTTCATAAATCCCTTATCCTTCAAATCCCAGACATTAGTTGATTGACAAAGCTTTTTAGCCCGGTCCCCAAAATTACACGGTCGAGAAAAGGCACGTGTAAAGTCAGGTAAATCGGCCCGCAGCCCACAAAACAAATCATGAGTTCTCATGAGTGGTTTTTGGTTGCCCGATCAATTTTTTCTTTGGAAACACCTTTCATCGCCTTATTATTTTCGATGTCAACCTCATTGGGATGCCTTTGTGGATCCTTGGAGAAGGTTACCGGGCTTGTAGACAGATATACAGATGACTGACCATTTGTCACTATACGATTACACCTGTAACATTGCGAAATCAACTCGTCAAAGGGATTTGGATAGGTTTCCACGGACTTATCTTTCTACATGCTCAACGAGTGAGGTTTTATAATGAGCTGTACTAATTTTCTTTCGCAGACATCCCTTCTGCATTTTCTTTCCTCTCTAAAAGAACTTCAGCTTTTCCAACTTGCACTAGGCTGGCCCGGTGTCCAAATTACCAATTATCACTATTCAATAACCTCACTAGAATCACCAGTACCCCTATCACTTTATTCATCGCTTAATCTTCATCTGAAACGCAGAAATGCCGCGAAATAACCCAAAGACTGCTTTTCAACGTACTCGACCTTTACGCAAGAACTCGGTGCAGCAAGACTCCCGAGACAAATCCAATGATCAGGGCTCGATTGCAGGGGAAGATGATGATCGGGTTGTAGGAATGAAACATCGAAGGGTGTCACCCAAAAGACAGTCAGGCAAAAGTAAGATTCTAATCTCCATGCTTGCATGGCTAACATTAAATACAAATGATACTAAAAGACAATCCGTGTGTAAATCTGACAGGCAAAAAGTCGTCCTTAGAAGGAGTTGGAGTCTTTGTGGGTCCAAAAACTAGTCGTGAACGACTACAAGAACTGCTTCAGCAACACATCACCAGGAAGAAGGTCAAATGTGATGGCGAAACTGGTCCCGCACGGCGCTCGCAGACGTTATCAGCTAGACAATTCAAAATCGGAAAGTCCGGCGGAGAAGAAGTGAAGTCTGTAGCAAAGGTTCAAGATCAAACTTCTAACAACATTGACGTGGATTACAACATATACAATCATTCTCAACTTAACGAAATGCTCAGGGGTGTTGGGCTGGATATGTCTGCTGCGGATAAGGAAGAGCTGGTCAAGCTGTGCCGGGAGTATCACGATTTGAGTGAGTCAACCTTCCATGTCATTTATACCAGATGAACGTTGACTTTTCATATTCTCCCAGTCATCCTTCCATCGCCAGAGCCGCCGTCAGAACAACCCAGGTCACGTCAATCCACAGTGCCTCCAATTCCAGATCAGATTCCAGTTTTACCAGTTCCTACGCTCGCAGAATTCACGTATGAAGATCAAAACCATCCCCCCCAAAGCCTAAGTCAATCAACATCATCTCTTTCACTTAGGCATTTTCGATGGCCTGAAAATCCTCCGAAATCTATCAAGCTACCTCCGATCACTGAAGCAAGCGCGGTGAAATCGAAACCCCAACTTACCGTTCCTGCCGTATCAAATCCAGAGGGAAAACTCTCAACACGAAAGAAATTCACAAGAATCTCTGTCCGAAGAATTGATCCTAAATCATCCAAATCTGGTAACGCAGGAAGCTTGGCTCCTGTGCCCTCGCCCAGTTGCCAACTAGCCGAAGCGACATCCGTGGCGGCTACTTTCGAAAATCGGGAATCCGTTGAAATGTCTTCACCTCAGGCCAGCCCCACTCCTACTAGCATACCTCGTCTGGAACATGGTCGGTTATTGTACCCTCGGCCAAATCCGACGAATCTATCATCTGCCCTTGCCTCAACGTCTGCGCCCTCTAGATGTACTAAAGCCACCAAGGGCAAGGGGAAAGCAAAAGCTGACAGCGATCAATGGGAGCCATCCGAAGACGAAAATGAAAGTGATCACTCCGGAAATGAAGACTCTGAAGAACATATGTTTTCTCCACTTTTGGAAACCTTCGATCAGCAGGAACCTCCCCCCCTCTCAACACCAAACCACGATCCGTCTGGAATTTCTACTGGGGTCTCACCTCATTCGGGAACCTTCAATCGGCAGAAACCTTGTCATAGCTCAATACCACACCATGATTCGCCTGCGATCTCGGTTTCCAAAACTGACCTAGGTTCAACACCATCCCTATCAAATATGATCAGAGAAATTTACACCAATCAGATTTCAACAAGCTTGGAAATTTCAAAGAACTCTGCTGCAATCGAGGAAATGCTCAAGCTTCTGAAGAAGACAATTACTAGAATTGAAGGTTTGAACACTGAGGTCCGTGCTTTGTCGCACGTTGTGACAAAGGTTTCAGGGAGCTCATCACCTGAATCATTGAATATCCGAGGTGGCCGGATTGCCGTATGTTATCCCATTGAAACCTCATGACCAATTTGCAAACATTTACTTTTTCTGTTATGTCATTTGCAGGCACATATGCGATTTCATGTTGAAACACTATTTGGCCAAAGAGAAGATGATTCAACGTTTCCGGCACCAGCTAGTGATGAAGAGAAGGCAAATTGGATGAAATCGAGGGATCTGGAATCCATTGAAGCGGATGTCACAGCGCCAACTTTCACGATGGAGACATTGGATTCCCACTTTCCATATCCAGACGGTCCCGGCCACAAGGATTCCACCCCTACCCAACTATCTGTCATGCGACAGATGATGAATTCGGTTGGGGTTCGAAGCTTCCGGCCAGATTTTTCAATCTCTCAGCGGACCGGGGATAATAAATGGTTATGGGACCTCGCTTTGAAGATATTTGTCAAGCTTACCGAGTGTGGCGAGTATCCTGGTGTACCATCAAACCCTGAGGGTCAAGAACAAATGAAGAAATCTTTGACAACATACGTACAAGGGCTCTCTAAACGGTACGTTCACATTCAGATTTATGAAAGGTTTTTAATAACTGCCTTACATTTTGATCAATTTGCACAGATATCGCCAAGAGAGTTGGGATCTTCAGCGTAAGAATAAAGCTGTAGAAGAAGGAAGGCGCAATGCCAGGCGCGGGCATGTAAGTCACATGTGTTCACTATTTTTCTCAGCACTGTATTGATATCTTGCCTCATGTCAACGAGCAGCTCAAAAATTTGCGTCAACGAGTCATAATATCTCACTCAGACCTCTTTCCATTGTCATCAGTGGTCGATGTTGCATGTAGTGATGATGAGACAGAAAATGAGGAAGTATTACCGAGCGGCAGCCCTTCAAAAATTAATTCAGCACCATGTCACATTCGCTCAATTCCCTGGCGCAGTTTGGAACTACAAGACATCCTCATTGGTATAGATACATACAGAACAAAGGTAATACAGAGCATTCCCAAAAATTCGCATGGACGCCCACCTCGACCCCGTGTCCGCATCCTCGATGGACCCAGCAGTCGCATCAAACCCCCTGTGGGCTTGCCGGTCGACTGCTACGCTCCTGAATGGCTGAGTAGTCTTTCCGCCCTTCAAAAAGCCCAGTTAGGAGTTGTCTCGGTACCAATTCTTGAACCTCTGATGTCCATTCTACAAAAACTTTGATTTTTCACAAGGCCTGGACAAATTGATTGCTGTATCTTAACCACCTATTTGAAATTGTATATGTCATTATATGCCTTGTTATCGCACTGAAAAGATAGAATCTTACATCTTTACCGCTCCATAGACAGCATTGCTACCGTTGGAACTTCGATTTCTTGGTGAACTTCGCCAGGCTTGTACATTATCCATGCACAATGTGCATGGATGTTTTGTAATCTTATCAGTACATCTTTAGTAGGTGACCAACCACGTAGAACTGCTTGTATGTTGGGTGCCTCCAGTTTTGAAAAGGGATCATAAACACCTTTTGGTAATTCCGGGAAACACTGAATGTGGACCCAGGTGTCAAAGATTGATTTTTGTTGCCCAGGTGTTCGGCGGTGAAGGAATATTGAAGAAATCCTTCCAAATCCAGGAGGACCTTTGTCATTGGGCTTGAATTTAATAAAACTGTTATTTTGGTTTGCTCTAAAGGTTGAGAACGAGACGTTTTTATACTGGACTTGCTGGTAGAAGGTTGCCTGAGCGTGAACCGGCGATATTCCAAGAACTTCATCTTCCGAAAGAGCTGCCCACTTATTGGGAGCCATCCATGTCTGACCATCGCCCTCTTCACAATTCAGCAGATCAATGAGCATCTGAAGCACATTATTTTCCAGAGGCTTTAGGGTGGAGTTGGACAAGCGTTTTTCAACTGGATCCATTGGGTCATAGAGGGAGCTCAATCGTTTAGAGTAGTGGTTAAGCGGTTCAGGGAGCTTGTTGTCTTTCAAAAGAGCAGACAAGTTACCTGCGCGACAATAGTTTTTGAGGAAGGTTACTTCCAGCTCCCCTGGTGATGCGCAAGAGTCAGTGAAGATATTTTATCAATATTCATAATGTCAAGCTTACCTATGTGATTGTTGTGAGTACCTTTCAGTATACCTCCCATGAGCCGCTCGAATGGAAAAGACCACCATGCTCGTACTGGTCCAAACCTCTCGAGACAATCAGCAAGGTGAATGGCCATGTGGTGATTCGGTGCAAGTTTACAATGCTCAAACAAGATTAAAGAGCTTTCTAGGTATTCCTGAATATGATGCCGATATTGAGTTATGTTTTCTGTAGTGATCGAGCGCTTTAGAGCCAGATTGACCAGAGAGACAAGATGGGAGAAATTCTGAAGCAGAGATCTTTTTACATGATCTTGACCACTCCATATTGGAATGAGAGTGAGAGGGAGCTGAATCGAGAATAGATTTCTCCATTCATCGGCCTTAAGTTTTCCAAATGACGCTTTCCCTAGCACCGGGATGGCACGCTTGACCCACGTCGGAATGTGTACTCTGGGTAACAGACGATTTATCTTCAACAACATTTCAGCATCAAATACAATCTCATCTACTGGGGGGGCTTCCCATTTTCCGTCCCACCCGTCTTGTCCTAGCGGATCATAGTCGTTGTCGCTGGTTGACAAACTGGTGTTCAACGAGATGTCCTCTTTGTCTTCATGTACCACGCTAGCCTCATCACTGTCTTCATCATCAGGTAGAGCCGCCTTTGAAGGAAGTGGCTGAGAGTGTTCAGCGAGAAGGTTCATCAGTTCTACTGTGCTGATAGGTGGAATGTCATCTTCTTCGTTCTTGACGTCTTTCATTGACCAAAACCTTCGAAGATGCCAGGACAGCAGTCCAAGAAGAAGGTTGTGCATAGAGTCAACTACGTGATAGTTGATTATGTCCCAGTATTCAAGCTCCACTAAAACTGAATATCGAACTCCGTGTAATTCAAATATCGATTTTCGCTCTTCAGCAGTCTCTGCATCACGTGCCTGGCATGCCCATGCTTTGTGCTGAGCAAGAGTACGGGGTGACCAATGTGTTTGGTCCAAAATATTGATATGAGGCTTGGTCAGATGACATAATGAGCAGAAGTTTTTAGCAGTGGCGCTAGGAAATCCAAGACAGCGTCTCAAAGCTGGGATATCGGCAATGAAAGGTAGCAAAGCAGCCTTGATGGCACGGCCATTTGGATATTGATGAGTTCGAGATAGAAGAAGTCCCGGATTCCACAGAGCCTGCAGCTGGGTTACAACAGGACGCAAGATCCAATTAATCTGTTCGAGGGATGGCTCACGGGGTCCAGGGACAATGCCAACTAGAAAGACGTTTTCAGGAGCGTGTCGGAGGCTTATAGGCAATGTCAGACAGACCATCACAATGAACGTGATGGATACGTGCTTCCCGCTGATTTTGTTGCCATACGGATTGATGGCATCCACAAACATACCAAATGTAAGGTTACCACTGACGGCTGTGAATTGCTTGCCGTCTCGTCCACGAAATTCCTTCCAGGTACGTGATTGATGGATATCAGTTATCTCACCGGATTCGTCAAATGGTTTTCTTGATTCTTCCAAGGATCCATCGAGCCACTCCTCAACCTGAGGGCGAGATAGCAAGCGGGCAATCCAGTCGGATAAGTTTTGAAAGGCATATTTGCTGATTGGAACTACCTTGCCACGAGAAAATTTGAGCAATGGTTCACCACAGACTTTTTCCGCAAAATCCGGATCATCGTCCTTGTCAGAGCTTGGTTGCAACTCGGTGCTCTGCTCACACTTTTCGGAAATGTTGCCGCCCGAGATATCAGACACAACATGATTGCACTTTTTAGGGGTTAGTGCAGGTGGGTAGAGTGCAAAGCATGCTCGACAGCAACTCATCGTGTTCAGTGGTGGATCTATGTTTAGCCAGCCAACTGCTGTCGTCACAGTTTTTGGAAATCGGTTCAGAATCATATTTTCGGCATCACCAAGCCGAATGGCGGAATCTGAGGGGATCAGACCGTGAAGCAAGCAAAGCTCTACTGTTATGTGTTGTGTGTCCAAGAGCCATGATGCTGTCCGCATTGAGATGTGACCGTAAATGCCCATGATAGACGTGGTGAGTGCAACGTGGAGTAGCAGTGGGTTGATTGATTTAAGACTAAACGCAAAGAACCGATCTAGACATTGTGCATCATGAAAAGTCAGCATCTTTCTTGAATCTCAGAGTCAGGGCTAGACAGCAGAATACTGACCACAGTCGTATTCCTGAACTCCAGAATTTCGCATGGCAATAGCGGCTGAGCAGGTCTTTTCAGTTGCTATCGAGCGATTGTGGTGCGGCGAACCTGGAGAAGAGTTATGGCAAGGGTCCACAACTCCAGTATCACCAGCTCTGTATTCGTGGCTCGAAGGTTGCCGTGTGCTCGTTGGAGGCTGCGCTGGAATAGCTCCCTGGGATCTACTGCCGGATCGAGGATATTGAGAAACTAGCGGATGTTCGAACGTGGATATAGGAGGTGGCGAATTTGCAATATTCAACTGTGCCACCCGTGTGCTCAACTCTTCATCGTGAGCCACAGCTTGTCGTTGATTCAGTGAGGATGTGTTACGAGAGGAAACATGAGTAGGGGTGTTTAGCTGAGATTGAGCCAGGTTGCGACGGTCCAAGAGGGCATGAGCATCTCGTGTTTCCCGCGAGACTTCAATTCCACTCTGAGGCACACCATGGACATCGACATGTTGACCATAACAGCAGTTTCTAGCTTGGCAGCGACAGACAACACGATGGGATATGCCACCCCTAGATGCGCGTGGAGGCATGAGTCGAATAGAGTGGTTTATTGAGTTCAATGATTCAATTTCAAGTGGAAAAGCAAGAGGTATGAAATAAAAAGAGGAATAGATAACACCTGAGGATCAAATTTTGCGGACAGCAAGGGTACAAGTACAGGAAACCCAAATGTTATCAATAGATGGCCAGAACTGTCGGGATACAAAGTCACGGGGGCAGAATTCGCATGGGTAGAGGGAAAGAGACTAGTAACAACAAGAGCCACCGATGACAGACTAGAACATATTGTGATTATTGTCAGGGAGATCTGAAACCTTGGAAGACAGATGAACCGCTACAGAGTATCCAGGAAACAACCGGCGCTTCACTCTGGGATAACACGGACCAACACAAGCTACAACCTAAACATGTGTAAAACAAAACTAGAATCTGACATGAAGTTTGAACACGCCACATGATGAGCACTTGAAGTAACCAGTATACAATGAAACATGTGCAGCCAATACCTGCATAATTATTGAAAACGATCATCGTGAGCTGATGTAGTTGATCTGTGGATACAGTCCTGACAGAGGGAATATAGAGACTAAGAGTTTGAAGCTTACCTATCGTAGCGAGGCAATCACTATCCTATTATTGAGTAGTGAAACCCTCGGACAAGTTTTCCATACGGAATGTTCTCCTCAAGGATGAACATGCGGTAAAGGTTGACAAGAACTGTGTGCGACATCGGAATTGAGTGCACAAAGACGGTAGGTGCGTGGACTTGCAGTGCAAATCGTAACTCTTCCATGTCTTGGCTCTCAACCTCATGAGATCTAACGACACGTGGCGGGCGGATTTTGTCAGTTTGCCCAGGGATAACAAGATCTTTGTCGACATGAGCCTGATACAGCAGTTGCAACCCATCGGTTCTAGCACCAGACGGTATTTCGGTGTCAGGGGCACTTCTGAGGATTGCCTCACGTAACATCTTTCGTGTTGTCTTTCGGCCTAGTGGATTGAAGTCTGGAATCTCGGATCCTAGGGTTGGTGCGGTAGGGGGCGAAGGCAGTTGAAACGGTATGAGATGAGGTAATAGGTCCTTTTTGAAAGTATCATACAAGACCCCCTTGTTTTGGGTCAATCTAGATTTTGAGGCCTTGTTGAAATGGAGAAGAACACGATATATGAGAAGCTTCGTAATCTTTGATAACTTCGACTCGTGGCCAGGCTCAAGAAAAACATAAAGATCCGAGTGTAAAGTCTGAATTAAAGGGGCAATTGGATTTCCAGATTGATCATGAGGGATATGCGAGTGTGAAAATTGTGATTGAGGTGGGAGTGTCGAATGTAGTTTCGTAGTTTCAGCAGCAAAGGAGGATTGATGAGAAGGATCGAGGGGAGTTCTGCCCGAGGCGTCAGTCGGTGAAGTCATGTGGACATGGTAGTAGGTATTCCGGACACATTCACCTCCGGCGGTAGCTGGGATGTTGGTGAGTTGGGCACACTTTTCTTCTTCCCTTTGCCCATTTCGACAACTACAAATTAGGGAAGGTTATTGTTAGCATTGAAGTTGAAAGATCTTCAATATTACGAGTGACGTGATATGTGAAGGCTGGTATTAAGATTGCAGACGAGGGTCATAAGAAGAAAAGACAAGGGTGATAGCCAGAATGAGTAGGATAGATCAACACCTACATGAAGGAAGAGATGGATAGATACGACTTTGAAAAACTGAATCGAATGAAGGAGGGATGTAGTCTAGTGGATGTAGAAAACGGAAAAGGTGAGTACGATCATGATATATATATTGAAAAAAGGAACGCTGGCCAATAAGTTTTTGTCATCAATTCGGCATAGTAGAAAACTGAATTTGTGAAAAACAAAAGATTGTGGTGGGCAAGGCGATAAGTTAGTTAACTCCGATTGCAGAATAGTCAAAGAAGATGACTTACATTTGTTTGACTGTGAGTAGGCCCTGATAATGACTTGTAATGGGGTGGTTATTGGATGCTTGACGATCATGTTGGTGAAGGGATGAAAGGTGCCAATTAGTTTCTTTGAAAAGAAACTTGGGGTACTCTAATCACTTGCATGTACATATTTAATTTGTATTTACGAGATACAAATTACACTACGAATGAGTTTATAATACAAGTTCGACAAGGGTTCTCTTCATCTTCACTTCAAAGTTTTCTCAACCTTTCTCAAAAGCAAGAGAAAGGAGTGTCGGGATCATACATAGTGTGAAACACTGCTCTCAAGTGTACGTAATCAATTCATCTCTTGTAGGACTTGAGTGAACTTGAACAGTCAGATTATATTTCAGACCTTTTCTTGCCCCAGTTCTCTAGCGGAACTTATCTATGTACAGTGAAAAACAATGTTAGAAAAATTATAGATGTCTTTGATTTCTCCTTGAATCTCTGCCTGGGGAACATACAAAAGTGTTTTTGGAAAGAGCTACTCATGCTTGAAACACTCATATTCATCTCTCTAGGTCATCACTGACTGTTCTCTGGTCTCATGATCCCTCCAGAGAAAAGGGGTACTTATCTGACCTTATATAAGTCTACACTTTTCTTTTCCATGTGGAAAATATTATTTTTGGGGTAGTGACAGCAGAGCTACGTGTGGCCTGTGACTCTTTAGGTTGTGATGGGAGTTGGGGTGTTCAAACCTTTCCAGGGTGACCCATGAAAAAAACCTGTCAGAAAAACCCATGAAGAAGTTGGGTTTTCATGGGTTTTTTTCATGGGTTTTTAAGTTGGGTTGTAGGTTTGTACACCGCTGTTGCCTCTTCTAAAACTTGATTTATTAGTTTCTCTTATGAAAGTTGTAAATGAATCTAACTATAACTTAAAATTTGAAATAATAATAATAAAAAAAAGATTTTGCCTCAAATGATTCTTTGAAAGTGATGTGAGACTTAACTTCTAAAAGAGAGTGAAAGTAATAAAATGAAAAAAATAGAAAATAATTAATAATTTCATCTTGATCCTATAAATAACTCACCACATCCTCCTCTTTTTCTACAAACTGCCCCCAGTTTACTAACCAATCAACTAAAAAAAACTTTCACTTGTATCAATTTCCCCTACTTCAACCCACCTTTAATATAACAACAATAAATCACAACTTTTTTTATATGTATTTTATTTTTATAAGTCAATATAATATTTAAATTTTATTAATAAAATGGCTTCAGGACCAAATTTTCACGGAGTCTGTGATCAGTGTACTCCTTCTCAACAAAGCTGTATCTTTTCTACTGCTCCTAGTAATCCAAATGGCCATTGGAGATGTAACAGCTGCAGATTTTTTGGTTTTCATTGTGGTAAGTTCTTTTTTTATTTTTTATTTTTTAATTTGCTTCTTCAATTCAATTTTTCTTCTTCAAATAATTCACTATACTAATATAATTTTCTTACTATTCTTATTCTTAATTTTTACTTTTTAATTTTTAATTTTCAATTTTCCAATAATGTTAATATATACTTTTCATTTTCATTTTTTAACTTTTCTTTAACTTCTTTTCTTAATAATAGACTATCCTGAAACCATTCTTGAACCAACCTCTCCTCCAGCTATTCCAACTACTCCAACTCCAGATCAACAACTTCCACTTGTGCCTTCTTCTCCTTATGATCAAGACTGGAGTCATTTAATAGGATTAGTTCCTGAATATCAATCACCAGCTTCACCTCCACCTCCTTCCATAGCTGCTCAATCTGTTGAAACTATTTATCCCACTGATGATCCAATCTTTACTAATATTTTTGATTACAACTTGGATTGGAAAAATGATCATGCTACTGAATTAGCTTGGACTGTTTGGCGTCACTTTGATAATGCTATGAGAATCATAAAAGATACTGGTTATGAAATCCCTAACTTAGCTAATAATTCTTATAATTTAAGTAGAGACATTGTAATTGATGATTATGTTGCTAGAAATACTAGTACTGGCAATACTCCTCCTACCCTCAGTTCCTTTATTCCTTTCCCTCATCATGCTGAAAGAGCTAATGCTGAATATGTTCCCCCTATTAATTCTCCTCAATCTGATATTTCTGAACCCTCTGATCCTTCATCTTCTAATCCTTCTGTTGGTCCTCCTAACACTGATTTACCTAATTTCCTTGATCCTTCATTAAAATAAATTTCTTTTAAGTAACTAAAAAAAAGATGTATCCTCCATAAATTTAAAACTTATTTCCTTCTTCCCCAATTTCTACATTAGGGGTTCTCAAAGTAGACCCGGTTTGTAAAAACCCGGTTGACCCAGTTGACTTTTTGGCTGTGATCTGTCAAAAAATGTCAACTCGATACACAAGGTTACTGCCAAAAAGCAACCGGGTCAACTGGGTTTTCTTGAAACCGGGCCAACTTTGAGAACCCCTATTAATTATCCCATTTTTACTTCTACATTTTATTAATTATGTGTGTTAATATTAAATAAATAATTATCCGGCCCTAAAAATGTGCTTAAAACTTGCTTTTTGAGAGAGAGAGAGAAAAAGAAAAGAATAATTTGAAAAAACTTGTTAAAATTTTGAAACTTAAAAATAAAAAGAAACTGAATAATAAATTGATTGTGATAATAAGAATTTTTATTAAAGAGAAAAGAAAGAAAACAAAAGAACAAAAACAAAAAAAAAATAGTAGAAATAATATTATATGGGGAGGGGGAATTTTACACCGAGTCATTTACACCGACTCTTTCGGTGTAAAAACAATCCGGTGTAAAATTCGAGAAAAGGGGGGGTATTTTCGAATTTTACACGTGTTTCAATTTTTTTTCGACTGTGTAAAAAAAAGCAGTGTAAAAAAAACAGTGTAAAACTCTTCTGCCCGGCCGTGATTTTTAATTTTACACTGGAAAATTTACACCGGAAAATGCTGTGCAAAAAAAAACAGTGTAAAAGTCTTGTGCCCAGGCCAAAGTTGAAATTTACACCGGATTTCTTACACCGAAGCGGGGCAAGCGGGTAATTTTACACCGGATTCCTTACACCGAAGCACACTCCACTGTTCGATTCCCCCATTCGACACATCCACTTCTCAACACTGACGGCCTTTTGTTCCGTCCTTGACCTTTTCTCACCACTCATAGCCGATCAACTCAAAAGCACACAAACTGCTCAGATTTAAAACCCCTTTCTACACCAGGAAGCAATTTTGCAATTACCATAATTGGAGGCTGTATTTAATCAGTTTCTAAAAAAACTCATGTTTAAGCTGCTGTGTTACTGAGCTGATCGTTTATCTTCTAAGATTGAGGGCCAAGTTACCAAGGATTGCCAAAGGTTGGAACTGTTTGCCACCACGTCTTTTTGGTTTGCTTGATTATTGCAGCAAACTATCAGAATGATTTGAGTCCTAAAAGCAAGCCCTGGTGGCATGCGCCGTGCTGCATTGTTTGTTGAGAAAGAGATTAACCGATCGTGCTAGAACGGTCACTCTGCATCATCACCCAGAGAAGAATCTAATGAAACTGTATCTTGTTATTTCTTTCATCTTTCTTGCTTATGCTTATGATCTTACCGGAGAGACAGTTGTACCTTCTTGACCTTGATTTGACCATCAATGATCCAGCAGTACTCGGGAGTTTTGCTCCTTGTCGTTTCCGTGGTTCTACAATTCTATAGTTCCTGTCACTCCTACTTCCGTCGCATCATCGGGCCCACCATGTCCACCACGGACAGTGAATGTAGTTCATATCAATTCAGAAACGACTCATTCGGAAGAAGCATATGTTCAAGTTACGTGAAGGCAGTACAGCGGGAATCCCACCTGCTCTATCACCTTCACCTATTTGACTTGGTAATGGTAATTATTTAGCAGGAAAGATCATGAGTCACATTGTATTGATTTCTGTTCCTTTGATTAAACTTTCATCAGTTGTTAAAGTTTCCAAATCTCATAATTTCATGTGAAATTTAGTGATACCTTTGCTGGGTTTAGGAAAGACTTGCATGCCTCGAAAGGGGAATCGTTTAGCTGTTTTAAAATCATATACACTCTATGATCTTTCCCTACGTCTTTCTTCTTTCTGTCTTGTTGTTGAGGTTCAAACATCATAGTCTGGCGTAGGTCATGATAAGAGTGCCAGCAGGAAAACTTTTAATCGCGGAACAAACTACCAGTACTTTCAAGTCGGCTATGAGTGGTGAGAAAAGGTCAAGGACGGAACAAAAGGCCGTCAGTGTTGAGAAGTGGATGTGGCGAATGGGGGAATCGAACAGTGGAGTGTGATTCGGTGTAAAGAATCCGGTGTAAAATTACCCGTTTGCCCCGCTTCGGTGTAAGAAATCCGGTGTAAATTTCAACTTTGGCCTGGGCACAAGACTTTTACACTGTTTTTTTTTGCACAGCATTTTCCGGTGTAAATTTTCCAGTGTAAAATTAAAAATCACGGCCGGGCAGAAGAGTTTTACACTGTTTTTTTTACACTGCTTTTTTTTACACAGTCGAAAAAAAATTGAAACACGTGTAAAATTCGAAAATACCCCCCCTTTTCTCGAATTTTACACCGGATTGTTTTTACACCGAAAGAGTCGGTGTAAATGACTCGGTGTAAAATTCTCCTACCCCATATTATATTGATACTCAAATTTATAACTCCTCAACATTTTCCTCTCCATTACCAACCTCCTCTTTTTCTAATGTAACTTCCACACCTCTTGGATAAAACTTCTTAGTATGTTCCGCTGCATATTTTCTTGATAATTCAGTTCCATCTAACTCTTCTAATATATATGCTCCTCCAATATGTTGCTTGACGATTCTGTAAGGACCATTCCATCTGTTCTTAAATAATTTACCCCACTGAAATTCTAAACTTTTATTATAAGTTAAAACTAAATCACCTTTTTCCAATGGTTTTCTCATACGGTGAGCATTTTTTCTATCCCAATAAATAATTCCCTGAACTCTTGCAACCATCATCTTATCATAAGCTCTCTTCATAACTTCTTCTCTATTTATCAATTGTTCCATTCTAGCCTTTAACAACTCTTCTCCAGTATGTACTTCATCCCATTGAAGTCCCAAAAATGTTCCAGCTTCAAGATCAATTGGTAAAATAGCAGGCTGAGAAAATAACATTTCATAAGGAGACATGCCAGTTGTTCTTTTTGTAGATATTCTATCAGCAAATAAAACTTGAGGTAAAAAAGTTTCCCATGAAGTTCCTGTTTCATCACTTAATTTTATCAAAGCACCCTTCAAATCCTTATGTCCTCTTTCAACCATTCCTTCTGATTGTGGCCAATAAGCTGTTGACTCACCTAATTTTGCACCGGACATAGCAATTGCTTCTCTGAATATACCTTTAAATTCTGATCCACCATCCACAGTAAAACACTTAACTGAACCATACCTCATAATCCATTCCTTAGTAATAAATTTTGCAACTGCTGTAGCTGTAAGTTTTTTTAAAGGTGCTGCCTCAACCCACCCAGATAAATCATCTCTAGCAACTATTGCATAATCATATCTTCCAGCTTTAATATGAATAGCATCCAAACTCACCCTTCCAAATACAGTATTTTCTCCAGTTGCTCTTCCAACCTCCTTCTCTTTTTTAGTATCTTTCTTTTGACATATTTCACATGAAATTACCCAGTCCCTAACCGTCTCCTTCATTTCAGGCCACCAAAACCTAATTAAACACCTTCTATAAGTTTCTTCTATACCTTTATGACCTAATTCTTCATGTAACTTCTTCAAAATATAATGTTGTCCTTCTAAATTTGAAACCACTATTCTTCCATGTGGTACTCCCCTTCTTCTTGACCTGTCATCTTGAATATAATATGTTGCTACTCTATTCTTAATTTTCAAAAAATCTCCATCTGAACAATCTTCAGGCCTCTTCATTGTTTTTAAATATTGTTCTAACTTCAACCATATTCCTTCTTGAGTCCAAATTGATCCAACTTCTATCTCCTCTTTTTCTGATTCTGTTTCATCATCTCCTAATTTTAAACTTTCATATACCTTAATATCTTTTGCTTCTTCATCAAAACTTTCCGCTGATTCTGAACCTTCCCCTAAAACTCTCCTTGATAAACCATCTGGCATACCAAAACCCTTAGCATGTTTATGCACTAAATCAAATGAAAATAACTGAATGAAAGCAACCCATCTAGTCATTGCAGCATTAGGTAAACTTGGAGTATTTATCATCTGAATTAAAGCTTTTGCATCAACTTGAAGCTCGAAATGTTGACCCCATAATTTAGTCTTGAACTTTCTAAGAATTTTAGCAACACCACACAACTCTAATTTAGGCTGAGAATACCTAGACTCAACTTCAGAAAATACTTCAGACTCATAAAATACCGGTCTAATTTCACCATCATCATTTTCTTGCATCAACACACCTCCTGCTGCTATGTAACTTGAGTCCACAGCCAAAATAATTTTCTTTGCACCCTTCCTATAATCCAAAGCTGCTAACATAATATCTTCTCCAACAATTTTCTTCAACATAATAAATGCATCTTCACAATCTTCAGTCCATTCCCACTCAGTTTTTAATCTTGTTAATCTTCTTAATGGAGCTGCTATATGACCAAAATTTGGTATAAACATTCTGACATAAATGCAAGTTCCTAAAAATCCTAATACTTCAGTTTTATTTGAAGGTCTAGGCCAATTCTGAATTTTATTCTTTTTCTCAACTGAAATACTCCTACCTTCATTACTTACTACATGTCCAACTATTTCCAAAGCAGGCACACACACAGCAAGCTTCTTTCCAGACACAGTCAAACCAGCCTCCTCAATCCTAAATAATATTCTTTCAAATGCAATAGCATACTCCCATATAAACTTTCTTATACCATTATTTTCCTTCAAGACTTCATTATTATAATCAGATTCTGGACCTTTAATTCCACCATCATCAATAAAAATGCCTACATGTTGAGGAAGTTCATCTTGTAAAATCCACATCATCTGAGCCTGATAAACAGCTACAGAATTAGTGGCTCCTTGAGGTAATCTTGTTAACTGAAATCTTCCCAAAGGTGTCTCAAATGCAGTCAAAGGTCTTGAAACTTGAGCCAACTCTCTTTCATCATAACCACCCATTATATCACCTAAACCATAACAGGATCTTCCAGCAAATGATTCAACAAACTCCTCTGGTGA